TTACGAATAATTTTGACAATAAATAATGTATGGTAAAATATTAAAAAAGTGATGATTATACAAATTTTGGTAAATCAGTATCATTGTTGTGTTTATTTTGGTATCATTTGGGTAATTGCATATCATTTGGGTAATTGCGTATCATTTGGGTAATTCCCTATCATTTGGGTATCATTTGGGTAATTCCCTATCATTTGGGTATCATTTGGGTAATTCCCTATCATTTGGGTATCATTTGGGTATCATTTGGGTAATTCCCTATCATTTGGGTAATTCGTCGGACCCTACCAGACAATTTAAAGGGTCTTTTGCAAAAGAAATAGGAGCTGTATAATTTATACATCAGTTAATTGGTGAAAGAAATATATTTTCTCATTCTAATTTTAATTAAAATCAGATAGGCCTGTCAGGATAAATTTGGTCCGGGGCAAAAATCGGTCTGGCGGACTGATTTTGGCCTCATAATTACTTGCCAAATGTAGTCCACATAAGCCAAAATCAGTCTGCTGAAATTTACTTTGCTAAACAGCACACTTGGAAATATTACGTCCGCAATAGATTTTGGTGGAAAGAACAATTCCTAAGCTTTTACAGACGCGCATATGCTTATCTAGCCAATGACAATGATGTCCCTAGCTGAAGCCTCACAATAACAGACTTACAAATATTTTCCATTATTTCTTAGCTTAACACAAAAACTTTTGTTTAATTAAAAGGTTGTTAGAATAGTTGTAGCAGTTTACCAGTGTTTTGCACTGCTTCCTGCACTGCTTGCTGGAAGTCTACATTTTTGGAATTGAAGAAAAAGTGGAAGTCATCTGCATCTGTTAAGAATGTTAAGTACTTTCCAGCTGCCAGGATTGTAAATACACTGCCATGCTAAAAAAAACAAAACAAAACAACAAACTAGTTCCCAGTTCTCATACTTGGTTGCTGGATGGTGCCAGGGTTTGCCAGATTCGGGGGGGGGGGGACGGGCGGCATTTTGCCCGCGGTGGGGAGCGATATCTCGAATACATGGCCGTGGTCAGCTGTCGCTCAAAATCTCGGAAGTGAACCAGGACCCTGACTCCGCCCACCCCCCTTCGGCTGGCACTCCCCTGGTTTATTGGTAACTATCATAATGCACTATCAGACTATGGCATGTTAGCAGAATAACTTTTTTAACAAAGTATCTAAGTAAAATATACAGTATTGTGTAAATTAATAGCTGTAAAACTGCTTACTTGAACCGGTAAAACAATTGGCGTATCTAGGAGTATGATGGGGGATGGAGATCTGGCGGTAAGTGAGTGAATGCTACGTGGGGATAGATGATGGCTAAGTGAGGGCACGCCATATTAATTAGCTGGTAATACAAGCAAGGTGTGTATCAAATGCTTAATTTCACTACAGAGTACTTTGTGGTGTCCCCCTCAAGAATTCTCGGTCACCCGCTGAACTTAAACAAAACAAAGCCGTCACTCTGAAGATGTTCGTACCTTTTGCCTTGCACACTCAATGTAAGTCAAGGGGGCTTTGCCGAACTCCACACCGACACCCATCCAGGGTATCCAACCACTGATTGTGGGTGGACAGTTTCGCCGGTTCATTTTCTTGAGAACAACGTAACGAACAAATATTATTGCCAATATACTTGCAATTATTACTGGAAAATTAAAACAGTTTTCGTTTAAAGTCATCCTGGACTTCGTCACTACATACAGAACTAATAATAACAAAAAAAAAGACGACTCCTAATTTCCTCAATCCGCAACGCATGTGTACGTGTTGTGATGTTGTCAGATCAAAGGTCATATTATTCAGAGCGGCTGAAGTTCAAAGGCCAGGTAATACAGTACACATGGAGAGCGCCCTCATCTTCGATACGCTTTCTCATCCTCCTCGATCCTCCTCTCGCTCGAAGCCTCGAAGCCTCGAAGTAGTAACTGTAGTAAATAGGTCTGGCTTTGTCCAAAGGTCCAATAAGGTGTAGGCCTAGGTCATAATCTGTCTTTACTTCGATACTATGTGTCGCTGACTGATGAATTCTCCTTACTTAACTATATTAGTATTGCAGTATTAATATACTAATTTTAGGTCTCTAGCATGCCATCATAATAATATGACATAATATAGGCCTAGGCTAGGCCTATGTTATATATACTACTACTGTATACAAGACTGGCGTAGGGCGTAGGCTAGAATAGCTAGGAGGACAGGCTTGGGTTGAGTAGGACTAGGCCTTACTACTCTAGCTACACTAGCTAGGGAGGGTCCTACCTAGCTAGTCCTACTGCTACTGCTGCTGTGGCCTGCCTAGGCCTATTCCCACTTTCTACAGTAGGAATGAAGGGGACACCTTCCGATCGGGCCCAGGAAATTGGGGTGTCCAATGAATAGGGGTTAGCTGTATCTGTAGTGTTAAAAGATTACTCCCACTTCACTGCCAAAAAAAGTGTCCCCTTCTTTAAAACTAAGTTACTATTGTTAACATTGCCCTATGTAAGGCGCATAGATTTGATTATGAATAAATAATTAAATTTTTATACCAATAACTGTTTTAGGAAAATTCTCCCTTTATTTAGGAAGAAGGTGCTTAGAAAATGTCTTCTCGTGCAGGACCAAGAGCTAGTGGGACTGATGGAAGTGATTTTGATCATAGAGAGAGGGTCGCAGGTCACTATAGGATCAGGTAAACGATGTCAATATTTCAACCTTATATTTGAAAACGTTTTTTTTTTAAAATAATATTTTAATTGAGACTACTACGTTAAATTGCATGCACAATTTGGAATATTCCCCAGGGTAGGTTCCCCTTTGTGCAGGTTTGCCAATTTATGGATCCGATGACCAGGTGGAATAATTGCAGCAACGCCAGTACCTTGTATCCTCTTTAAATGGTGTGGTATAAATTCCTATATTATTATCATGATGATTATTATTATTATTATTATTATTATTATTATTATTATCATTTAAAAACAGTGACACAGTACACTTTCTGGATTTACAATTTAACAACAGTGTAGGAAGCATGAGTATATATCGTAAAAATACACATACAGGTCAATATGTCCATTATTATTGTTGTTGTTGTTGTTGTTATTATATATAATTAATGAAACAAAGACGTTATACAGTAAGTGTTTTTGTTTCTATTTCCAAAGTGCGCAACTAAAACCGAAGATCAAGATTTGCATGCTACTAAATCTGTTCGTGTCTGCAAACATCGCTGCTCTCTGCGGAGCCATATATCTGAATCTTCTGCCCTCTAGTATGGAGATCTCCAAACCCCAGCCGTGGCATTACATCATCATCTGCAGTAGTCTGCCGTCAGTCATAGGCTTAGCATCGCTCTCGAGGAGTAATGCAGCTCTTTTAAATATTTACAAAACAGGCAGTTTACTATTCTGCATTGGTGGAGCCTTGTTTGGCTTGATATTTCAGTATAAGCAATTTCAGTTATATGTACAGACTGGTAAAGGTGTTTTAATATTTGGTTTACCCCTCATCGTAATACAATATGTTGCACTTTCTCTTTATATTATTTTCAATTTGATAAACTTCAGATATGCAAGCAAGTTGTCAGCTGCATGGAATTTTAAAGGTTCAAAAACGAAATAAATATGAAGATAGTAAAATGGTTTACACCCCTCATCGTAATGCAATATGTTGCACTTTCTCTATACTGTACATGATTTTCAATTTGATAAACTTCAGATATGCAAACAAGTTGTCAGCTGTGTGGAATTTTAAAGGTTTAAAAAGGAAATAAATATGAAGATGGTAATATATGTTAAAATTTAATCATATATGATTTTGTTTTAGGGACAATCAGTGAAAAAAGAATCTCAATTAGTTACATTGCAGTATATAAGTTTGCTCTCACTGGAACATGTTTAATTGATTAAATAATGTTACTGGTTATCTATAACACACACTAAAACCTTTTTCCATGTTCTTAGTGTTTTTAATAAATACTACAGTATTATAAAATCCAAACTGCTTTTGTATTGCTTGTTCAACAATAACCAACACATATCAGTAAACTTTATAGAAGCCATGCTTTGTTACCATGTAAGATTTTCTATCATTAGGTTTGCTTCAGTAACTTCTTGCTCATTCCAGGCGGTTTTTTTTTTCACTGCAATTATGTAAATTTTCCTGGTTCATCTAGGACATACTTATTTTAAGATTTAAGCATGATGATAAATATCAGCTTCAGAGGGTTCTCGTCTGTATGTGGTAATTATGTGCATTGTTGCCTGCCTTTTGAACTGGTAATTGGTGTGGTCATAATGTACATAGTGTTCATTTGTATACCACCATTTTATCATTGTTTTTAGTTCGTTTCAAAACAACCATTAAATTAAACTGAAAACAATTTATTTGTTTGATACAATTATTGTTTTTTAACTATTATTTGTTTATATTGAGTGTACTGTACATTTTTTACTATGGTATTATGGAACGCCAAAAGCACAAATTACAAGTTGCACTGTGCAAAAGCCAAGTGGCACAGTGCGAAAGTCAAGTGGCGCAGTACAAAACTAAGTGGCACAGTGCAAACTCAAATGCGTGCTGCGCCACTTGACTTTTGCACTGCGCCACTTGACTTTTGCACTGCTGATTGTAGTTTGTCCTTTTGGCGTGATTCGTGATATCACCGAAAGGACAAACTACAATTGGCAGCGCAAAAGTCAAATGGCGCAGTGCAAAAGTCAAGTGGTGCAGTGCAAAACTAAAGTGGCGGCACGCATTTGAGTTCGCACTGCGCTACTTCAGTTTTGCACTGCGCCACTTGACTTTCGCACTGTGCCACTTGGCTTTTGCAATTGACGTTTGGCGATATTGTATGGAACGCCAATTTGGCATCAAAATGTAAATAAACTCATTTTTACTAGGCCTGTATTATTATTATTACTTTTTTCTCGTCGGGGACATCCCCCTATCGGGGACCTCGGCCCCCATCGGGCAAATCCTGGTGCCACACCTGAATCAAACTTTAGACAAAGATAATTCCATACACATTCTCAACTCTATAGTGTAGCCTCAGAGCATGACTTTCTTTCTTTTATTTAATGTTTTTCTGGAAATACCACTTTACTAGTATGTTCTACCTCATTTTTAAATCACCATTTACACATGCAATTATTCAATTCCTCAATCATCTACATTAACAATTGGAAATTTGCTTCGGGCCATTGGAGTGTACAAATATAAAAAATTAAGACTTAAAACTTAGGCCAAGTAATTAACAACACAAGCATAAATAATCAGGACATATAAAAAAAAGCATTTAAAACGTATAATTCAAAAGTCAAAATATATATAAAGTAAATATGAACCAAAATAAAGGCAATACTGTGGTCATAAAACCTAAGGTAATGGCAGGCGAAGTAATTGTAAAGAAATAACAGTACCGGTAATAAGTATAACAAATATTGGGGAGCAGGTTGGTCGCCTACCGGACATTTCCCCCAGACACTTTTTCCTGGTATTCCCCCGGACATTTTTCCCCGGACGGTTTCCCCCAGGACAATTTCCTCCGATCCCCCCCCTTATAAATCAGGAATTTAAATAAAAGGAATACATCAAGATTTATATCATCTCTTACTAAATCTTGATTAAATCAACTGCACAAGTAGCGACAATATTTAAATGGTAATATTTAAGTAACAAAAATAAAAAACAATATGAATTTTACATACATTAATCCATTAAGTTAACTTATTTGAATTTGCTAATTTTTAGTTACTAGGCCTATTTTCTTCTCATATATAATTTGTTGTTGTTTACGTTTAATTATAATATAACAGCAATATTGACAATTTGATAATAAAAATTAATTAGTAACTGAAAATGAGCAAATACAAATTAATTACGTTAGTACAGCGAAATAAGCAGCAGAGAATTCAAAATATATTATAAAGTGACCATGTTAATCCCTAAAATAAGTCGGTACGTGAGAATAAGAAATGTGTACATCCATCACAGCACATTTAGCATACAGTATATAAAAAAGTGCACAGAAGTTGGGTAAATAGTCAGCAGCTTTTTTTCTTCTTTAGGGGTGATGGGTGGAGGCGGGGGTGTCATTTATGAAAATAATTTTCAGGCTAATATTATTGTTGGCATTTAAGTCTCTCAAAAGATGGGAGGGTGACAGGGCAGGAGACGGTTCCCCAAGTCATTAAAACGTATGTTATTTATAATGGAACTTCCTTCTTTCTGCACCCCCTCCTGTAAATATCTGGACCCGCCACCACACAGCCTCGCGAAAGGCCGCCTTCGGTTTAATTTGAGACATGATTTGATTAAGGACAGACGAGTCTGGCAGAAATATATCGTAGCACCATTCTTTTAAATGTCTTACCGTTATAATCATATATTTTGAGTTCCTATTTATGTCCATTAAAATATCGTAAACAATAATTTTACACTAACACGAATCTACAAAATAATGGACGAGGTCACGCTGAAAAAGCAACGCATGTAGGAATTCATTATTCAAATTACGTTAGAACAATTCAAGGAGCAGTAGAGTATCCAGTATGCAGTGGCGTAACGGCTATGTGCCCTCATTGGCTAAAGCCTGGGGCGCCGGAAGGTCAAGGGAACCCCAGCGAATTCAAATATTTTTTTTGAAAACAAATAACCAAGGCTCTTTTCCAAGCCAAATTCTGCCGAGTGATTGGGACATTTTTATTTTCATCACTATCGCCAGTCTGCCTTTTATTAAAATATATGTCCATAAATATTTATTGATTTTAATTGGCTCGTTTTGTTTAGTATTTATTGTAATATGCCTATGTTTATTAGTGATAATTTGAAATAGAGGGGAACTAGAGAGGGACTTCGACAGATGGAGGGTCTATACCACAGCGCCACCATGGTTTGTGCTGAGGTAAGAAACTTTACGATATGGAACCTCTAGATGGCCGGAAATGGCACTCTCAGACTTAAAATTTGAATATAATTTTCTTTTTTTCTCCAATTTTTTATAATTTTTAAAAAAATAGGGGGCCCGGTCCCGCTGCCTCCCACCTCTTGAATCCGCCACTGGATATCTCAGTTAAAATCAAGTATGCTTTTATTGGCCAAATCACGATACATAAACTTAACATTCGAATGTCAAAAAAGACAGACCAATACGTCATGGAAAGTTGAAAACGCCGCCCCACCGGGGTGGGGGCGCCCTTCGCGGCCCAGCGTCTTGGCCCCAAAGGGCACTGGCTAGGGGCATCAGGCCCCTTCGTTACTCCACTGTTAGTATGTGGAGTGGAGTTGAATAGCTTGGTGGTTAAGATGCTTGCCTTCCAATCCCAGGGTCCTGGGTTCATTCCTGCCAGTTGCAGGATTTTTTCTCACGACCAAAACAACTCCACTCCCTAAATCTCATATTGAGATTTAGTTTGTGTAAAGTATTGTGTATGTATGTTTGTCTTATGTAAGGGATTGTCACCTACAAGTAGGATAGTGATATATTCGCTATTGACAATCCATGGCACATGTATTGTGTGCCTAAATAAATAAATTAAAAAAAAAAAAAAAAAGAAGTAGGTAAGTGGAACGTATTACTTGAGTGAGTGCGGCTGATACAAGCTCGTATATGTTCACTAAATATAATGGAATAAAATATATTATAAAATTGACCATCACTAAAATAAGTCGATACGTGACGAATTAGGAATGTCCCATCCATCACAACATTTTAGCATTTATTGTTAACCCATTTTGTACCAAACGTTTTACCAGTAGGCCTAGGCCAATCTTACTTGCTTCACTTTAACATTATAAAGACAGTTATTATTATTGGCTCATGTTCTTTTTTCCGTTGGTAATCTGACTTTCATTTGCAAAGGTCTTTCTAAACATATAGTTAAAGACGTGGCAGTATTCAATATTATGCTTTAGAATAATATTCTGTTATGCATATATATGACAATACTTGCAGTATTTGGCCGACTGGACATGGCTATTTAAATGATAATCCTGGAGATCCATAGGGAGTGATGGTCGTCGATGTTCGGTTGATGCCAAATTGGCGTTCCATACAATGTCGTCAAAAGTCAAAGTGGTTGCAGTGCAAAAGTCAAGTGGCGCAGTACAAAAGTCATGTGGCGGCGCACGTATTTGAGTTTGCACTGCGCCACTTTAACGTTGCACTGTGATTGTTGTTTGTCCATTGTGTAATATCGCCAAAAGGACAACCACAAGTGGTGCATTACAAAAGTCAAGTATGTGCAAACGTCAAGTGCCACAGTGCAAAAGTCAAGTGGCGCAGTGCAAAAGTCAAGTGGCGGCGCACGCATTTGAGTTTGCACTGCGCCACTTTAATGTTGCACTGTGATTGTTTTTTGTCCATTTGGCGTGATATTGCCAAAAGGACAACCACAAGTGGCGCAGTACAAAAGTCAAGTATGTACAAACGTCAAGTGCCACAGTGTAAAAGTCAAGTGGCGCAGTGCAAAAGTCAAGTAGCGGCACGTACACGCATTTGGGTTTGCACTGCGCCACTTTAGTTTTTCACTGCGCCACTCGACTTCTGCACTGCGCCACTTGTGGTTTGTCCTCTTGACGTTCCATATGGTATGGCTTAAAGTTAGTCTGCAAGTTGAGCATGCAGCTTCATTATAGTCTCCTTTCATGAAATAGAAATTGATTTTTTATAACTTGCATTATTGTATTTTGTGTGTTTATTTACAAATGAATTTAATAAATACCTTTTAACCATACTTTCCTCTTCGATACTAATTTTTGTCATATAAATATTAAATCTAAAAATAATAGATTAACTAATTTTTCAGAAACATTCGCTATGCTTTATAGTCCAGTTATTGTTATACTGGACGGCTTGATACATAAATCAACTATATTCCAGCCAGCAAACAGATAAATAAATTGGGCTTCAACGCAATCAACACAATACTGATGCAAGCTAGTTGCTTTTATTATATAATGATTACAATACATTCCTGAACACATAATAAAAATCACAAGCAAATGTATTCCGAAATAACAAAGAATTATAAAGCATTTTATGATCTATGGTACGGCATTTCGTTAGAATGCAAATTTCATGATATTAATTTCATTTTTAGACACGCATATCGCGGATGATTGGTTGTGGGGTTTTTAGACATTGAACTGTTGATTTTCATCTTTTTTTTTTGCTAGTTTGTTCATAACTTATTAAGTTTACACAGTAAACTATAAAATTACATACACATTTAGAGACAGGTGGCTGTCGCCGCTTGCTTGCTTGCACCTCACTTGGTGTGGGTGCACATGTCTGCCTGTGCATGGGAGCTTGCCTCATAAATGGCCGTTTCCAGACACCCGTCTAATCGGCAAAATATATGGCCGATATTGATCGGTTGGGCTTCAGAGGAAGACGTTTTTCAAATTCTTGATTGCATTTATTTCACACAGAACGATAACAAACATAATTTCGCAAAACATACAATAATGCAATTAATTTACAAAAAAAGAAATGTAAAATATCTGGAGTTGTTGAACGCGGCTCGGTCTTCATGTCAGATGAATTGAAATACTTGCTTTACATCAAGTTGAGTGTCTTCCATATTACAACCACACCTTATGAAAAGAAAACTCATTACTGTTAAGAATTGCAATTGCTTTTGCCCTTTTGCACCAACAAATTACTTAATATTCCTCGCCTTCTTCTCCAGCATCGTCTGCAGAGTCGACGCCGACTTCTTCATAATCTTTCTCAAGAGCTGCCAGATCTTCACGAGCTTCTGCAAACTCTCCTTCTTCCATGCCTTCTCCAACGTACCAGTGGACAAACGCACGTTTTGCGTACATCAGATCGAACTTGTGATCAAGTCGAGCCCAAGCCTCAGCAATGGCTGTTGTGTTGCTAAGCATACACACTGCACGCTGTACCTTAGCTAGATCAGCACCAGGAACCACAGTTGGTGGTTGGTAGTTGATTCCAACCTTGAACCCAGTTGGGCACCAGTCAACAAACTGGATGGAACGTTTGGTCTTGATAGTAGCAATAGCAGCATTGACATCTTTTGGTACTACGTCGCCTCGGTAGAGAAGACAACAGGCCATGTATTTGCCATGACGGGGGTCACACTTGACCATCTGGTTTGCGGGCTCAAAACATGCGTTAGTGATTTCAGCGACGCTGAGCTGCTCGTGATAGGCCTTCTCAGTGGAGACTACTGGCGCGTATGTTGCTAGAGGGAAGTGAATTCGAGGGTAGGGGACTAAATTTGTCTGGAACTCGGTCAAGTCGACGTTTAGGGCACCATCGAAACGAAGAGAGGCGGTGATTGAAGACACAATCTGGCCGATCAACCGATTCAAATTGGTGTAAGATGGGCGTTCAATATCCAAGTTACGTCTGCAGATATCATAGATGGCCTCGTTGTCAACCATGAATGCACAGTCACTGTGCTCCAGCGTGGTATGAGTTGTCAGGATAGAGTTGTATGGTTCAACAACCGCGGTGGATACCTGGGGTGCTGGGTAGATGGCGAATTCAAGCTTGGATTTTTTACCGTAGTCAACAGACAAGCGTTCCATGAGGAGTGATGTGAATCCGGATCCAGTGCCACCACCGAAGCTATGGAAGACTAGGAATCCCTGTAAGCCAGTGCATTGATCAGCCTGTAAAACAATAAACAATACATTCGATTTTTCCATCACATAAAATATTTTCGTACTTTCGTTAATCTGGAACTATAAACTTAGTACAGTATTCATATTGCTTATTGTCTGTCATCCTCCAATAAATGACGTCATATCAATTATTTTTGTTATCATTACTGCCATCGTCGTCGGCCTTAATCAACATGGACATGCCTAATGGAGACCATCTTCCTTATCTTACGTCAGTTACCCATAAGCCTGGTTTCCTTAAAATCGCTACCTGTCGCTACAGTGTTTTCAGTGCAATCGTTGAACGATGTAGCAGTTCCCCGGCCGACGCAATCGGGAAGACTCTCCGATATGGCCGACCAATCAGTATCACCGAAAGCTGCCGGCAAAACCGTGTAGCGATTGTATGGAAATCAAGCTTTACCCCCGCAACCGCTGTCATTCTGTGAACTAATCATACATTTCAAGAACTGATTGCTTACCAGCTTTCTAATTCTATCCAAGGCTAGGTCGATAGTTAGTTTACCAACAGTGTAGTGTCCTCTGGCATAGTTGTTGGCCGCATCCTCCTTGCCGGTAATCAGCTGCTCAGGGTGAAAGAGGCGCCTGTAGGCCCCAGATCGAATTTCATCTATAAACAAATGAATTTAAAAATTATAAAATTGAGTTATGACCATGCTTATTAATAGATGGTTCAAGAACAAGAAGTATACAGAGAAAGGATGGGCACACGATTTCAGATTGTACTTCATTGGTGTTTTTGGTAGATTATTATTGTTGTTATTATTATTATTATTATTATTATTATTATTATTAATAATAATAATAATAATAATAATAATAATAATAATAATAATAATAATATTAATTTATATAGCGCATTTTCAGGGTTCTGTTCAAAGCGCTTTACATAAAAATTGATAAAATACAATATAAAATAGGCAACATTATACAATCAAATTACAAAAATATTATATAGAAAAACTACAAAAATATACTTATACATTGTTAAAATAATTAAAATTGGAATATTCAGTCAAAAATAAATATTATTAATTACCTAACAAACTATAATATAATTAAGAGTGTACGGTAGAGTGCGGTGGGGGTATAACGTTGTAACATTAAATTTATGACTGACACACGTTTTCAAATGTCTTTCTGGCATAGTGAGATGTTTTGGGTGTGTATGATGGGGATGGAGGGTGGTAGGGAGAGCCTAGTGCACATATATATGTGCACTATTATTGTCATATCCTACAATACACTACTTAATACATACCGACTACAGTTGGCTCAAGATCAACGAATACAGCACGTGGGACGTGTTTGCCACCCCCTGTCTCACTGAAGAAGGTATTGAAAGAGTCATCGCCCCCTCCTAGGGTTGCATCGCTCGGCATTTGGCCATCAGGCTGAATACCGTGTTCAAGACAATACAGCTCCCAGCATGCATTGCCCATTTGGACACCGGCTTGGCCGACGTGTACTGAGATACATTCACGCTGAAAATGAAAACATGTTAAGTCTTACTTTGGGTGGCTAAATAATGCACGGTTTGATATTTGTGGGTTTAAACTCGAGTTCTTGGTTTAGCTCACAGGAGTAGGGAAACAACAATGTTATTTTTATTTTATTTGTATTTCAGTTTATATATTTGTATTACACGATTACAATGCATTGGTTTTTAAAACGTTTCTTTTACATTATATAGGCCTATGACCTAGGCATCACATAGCTATTTACCTTTGATAGGCACATTATTGATAATATTGAACTTCAGTTATCATTTCAAACTAGACCTATATTTTTTCGTGAAAGGATTCAATGACCGTAATACAGGTTTACCTAGCAATAGCTAGACGAACATTATCGTACTACTGATTGAGTGACGAGACTGTACGATAATAAATTCAACCTTTTTCGTCCGAAACATACACGTGACTACAATTATGCTGAGATGCTGAGATTGAATTATCGTAAAATACAACGGTAAATCATGCAGACGAAACATATGTACTAATTTCTAATTCAAATGTAACATCGAATTGCGTTGTACCAGTTTTAGATGGGAAATTATCGACAAACGAAAACATGCTGTAATGACTTTAGTAGGCTATATATGTATATTAAACCTTTCTGTTATCAGATCAGGTCTGGGTATGAAATAATAAAAAAGGATATAGACACAGAACACGGTCTGTCTATAATAAAATTCATGAGTACGGCACGACTTAACAGGACCCGAGTGAAATATGTTTAAGCATGTATACATACAAGGTATGTGTGTGTTTAAAACGAGAGAGAATTCAAATGTGGCCTTAATAATAAGCGTTCACATTGCTGATTCTGCACTAATACGTAACCTTTAATTAATGCGCGTTCACACTGCGGGCTCATGTGCTCCTGGGACCTTTCCAACGACGGCTTCTCATCTCTTAATGAGTATACACAAATCGATACATATGATTAGTCAGCTGTAGGTTAAGTCGCTAACACTCAAAGTGGTAGCATGAAGCTTGCAGATGATGTTCACCGTCAACTGTAATCTACAATTAGATGGACGTAACCAGAAGGCTGCAGTATCCCTGTCGCATACATTTTATCGAGTTAATCGTATTTGACTCGTGAATTTTACGGCCATTTTAAGACAGTTGTGATCTTATTTCTGGTAATCAATATATTTATTCATTCGCTCATTCTATCTTTCTTTCTTCCTTCCTTTCACCCTTTCTTTATCTTTCTTTCTTTCTTTCTTTCATCCTTCCTTCATTCTTTCTTTCTTTCTTTCTTTCTTTCTTTCTTTCTTTCTTTCTTTCTTTCTTTCTTTCTTTCTTTCTTTCTGTCTTTCATTCATTCATTCATTCATTCAGTCATTCAATCATTCATTTATTCATTCATTCATTCATTTATTCATTCATTCATTCATTCATTCATGTCTTTGTTCGTTCATTTATTCATTCGTTTAATAATTCATTCAGTCTTTTTTTTTTTTTGGTAATCAATATATTTAATCATTCGCTCATTCATTCATTCATTCATTCATACGTTCATCATCACACCATCATCATC